GGTGGGAAGTTAATAACTTGATTAGATCTCGTTCGCCCATTTGTTAACACTCCCACGTATGGCATTACATCCCAATGCAAGGAATACGTTGCATTCACCTGACTATGAATACGAAAGGTTCAGTCAATTTAGACGTTAATGTATGAAAAATAAAAACAAAATAAAACCGGTATTTATTAAAGCACCAGGCTTACCGGAAGCTCGTTGTGATATCTACAAAGTTATATTCATTATGTAAATCTGAGACTTTGATGAGTGCCTCTTCTTTTGACTGAATGATCGAATCCCACAAAACCACTTGGTTAATATCCTACATTAAATTATAAATTATAAAATTGCATTAGGAAATCTGATTTAATCTAGCAATCAAATAATGTAAACTTCAAAATCTAACGTACGTGCGAATTAGTTTCATATTCTGCCACAACGGAAACAAATAATTGTTTCGTATTCCAATTGAATAGAGAGGTTAAGTCTTGAAAAAAAAAAAGTAGGATGTAATTAAACGCAAGGCAAATAAAGGAATAAGTTTTTATTTATTTTATTTATTTATATATTTATATATATAAAAAAACTGACCTGCATCAAGATTCAATTTCACAAATGCAAACTCGCTATCGCCTCGACCCATATAGTCATACGAAATAACTTGTATATCTTTAACATTAATTTGAGCTGAAGGTGAAGAGGGTAAAAATGGCGTCACTATCGCTATTGCACCGAGGACGCCAAATGTGACTGTCATTGCAAATGCGAATATCGCATTAGCACGTTGAAGGAGATTATACATTTTTAACTAGGAGTCATTAAAGACCTCTTAGATGATCAATTTATATTCGATCAATGCTACGATGGACGTGCTGTAGCATGATTGGTTAGATATGATCGGTCACCGTTACATGTCACTTATGTCACTACTAACGCTAAGAGCGTTTAAATGCTTCATTCCAAGAATTTTATAGTATAATCAATAAAATACCATATAATGGAGGTACTCAAAAATAATTTTCACGAGCTTTTGCCATCAATTACAGATGCTATTCAAGGGGCCGATTTTATAGCTATAGATACTGAATTGACAGGTTAGCACAGCAAGGAAAGTTTCAACAACGTTAGAAAAGAAAGATATATGTTAAACGTTTCTTTTTTTTTTATTGGAAATAACAGGGCTTAGCGAGCATATTGAACGAATTAAAAGCTTCGACGATCCGCAATCAAGATATTCAAAGGTCCGAGCCGCAGCTACTAAGGCAAGTTAAACGCGATATCCAGCGTATCATAGCAACAGCTGTGTTAACTTATTAATGAACCTTTTTTTACATGCTTTAGTTTCTTATCATTCAATTTGGCCTATGTACCTTTACATACAATAACGACGAAGATACTTTTGTTGCTCGCCCATTTAATTTTTATATCTTTCCGGCCAATGCTGATAGAAGGGATTATAATGATATTTGCTTTATGTGTAGCGGATCAAGTTTACATTTCTTAATGAAATGTGGATTTGATTTTAACAAATTGATTTCTCAAGGTAATTTTAATTAAGAAAATTTTTTACTAATTCTTTTTTAAATTATTTACAATTATATTTTTTATTTAATTTAAATTGTACATATATGTTCAATTATACATTTAATTATACATAGGAATGCCATATTTGAATCATACGGAAGAAGCGAAACTTTTACAAAGAAGGGCTGATATTGCACAAAGACAAACGGGTAAGGTCATATATTATTTTATCAATATTTTAAATATAATATAAATTAATTAGGTTTTTGATATTTTAGACAATCCACCGGATGACGAAACTAAAGTTTTTGTAGATAAAGCTATGTGAGTTTTGATAATTCTATCAAATTTTCATTCGATATCAATGTTTAAGGATTCGCGGAATAAATCTTTGATTCTATATGGATATATTTACTTAGTCTGACTTGTGGTGTCATATATTAAAAATAGTGCTTCAATCGAAGCGTGGCTAGATAGTCATGAAAAACAGTTAAAATTATCAACACCACAGATTAGCCAGAAACGGCTGATCTTTCAGGAAATTAGGGCAAGGTAAAAACTTTTTTAATTCATTAATCTAGTATAAATATAGATATTGACTATATTATTAAAATATTGATGTATAATACGTAGATTCAGTGGACTCCTATCCGCAGAGAGCAAGCCTAAATGTATAGTGCTTGAAAAGTTATCAGATGAACAAAAGGAGAAAAGATCCAGAGACGAGGCTGCTGAAGTAAACCTCAGACAACTAATATCAGAGCGTGTTCTAAAGACATGAGTAACTAAAAATATTTTTTTGTTCAGGCTCTAGCCGCCAGTATAAATTTTCGAGTTATTATTGAGCTGTTGATGCAATCAAAAAAACCTCTGGTAGGTCATAATTGTCTCTTGGATATTTGTCAAATTGTTCATCAATTTTGGCAGGATCTGCCAGAGAAGTTGAAAGATTGGAAAAAGCTCGTGCATGGATTGTTCGATGTGTAAGAGTCATTATATAACCATATTATTGTTAATCTGTTAGTCAAACCGATTAAAACAATGTTAATAATGAATCATAGAATTATTGATACGAAGCATTTGGCAGCAACACACCGAAAATTGCAGGTAAAGAGTTGTTTGATATGATTTCAGAGTTTATTATTATTATTATTATTATTATTATTTGTTTCGTAATCACCGAAATAATGTTCCGCAATTTTAGTCACTTCTACCAAAGAATAGCGTTCAAGACATTTTAGAAATTGTTCAGGAAGAGCAATTTGAGAAGCTGGCTCCGAAAGTTGGTATGCTTATTCTTAAATCATTACCAGATTATATATAATATCATGTTGCTAGATACAATATTTATATATATAGTTCTGGATCCAAATTTTACTCGATACACGTTTAATGATATAAATAAAAATCACGAGGCCGGTTATGACGCGTATATCACCGGGTATAACTTTGTCAGAATGGCAGTATATATTCTCCACGAAAAAGGTGCGATATTGGAGTTGGTTTAAATCGTTATCGTCAATATTAACAAATTTATAATAAGTTCATTTATTGTTATTTTAATAGAAGAGAAGGTTGATGTTTATGCTAATGTATTGGGTGATTGTTCGGCGAACGGGCTATCAAATGAGGATATGGAAATTGTGCCAGAACAAGTTGATGAAGATGATGATGAAGATGATGAAATGAATTTATTCCAATATATAATGTCAACCGAAAAATTGACGCGTTTTTTTAACAAATTGCATTTATTGAGATCAGATTTCAAGTATATAAATTTGGATGGCGACGATGGATGTGAGTAATGACCTTTTACCAAATTATCTTTCACTTTAATAAATATACTTACTACTTGGTTTATGATTAGATCCTCCGACTAAAACAAATGGATTCTTGATATCAAACATTCCAGCATCTTGCTCCAAAGCGACAATGAACGCCCTTTTCGAAGAATATGGAAACATATTTTTCCAATGGATTGATGATACTCATTGTTGGCTTACTGTTAAGGATGATAAGAAAGTAAATAAAGTCCCACATGGAATTTTGGGTAAATCAAAAATGTTTTTAGAATTTCTGGAAGGCGGTAAAAAATATGATCTGGCACAAGAAAAAGGAATTACGAAGGAAATGGGTGAAATTTTTATCCAGTCATGGGGTGATTGGATACAAGCAATATTAGAAGCAGAAGAGGATAAAGAAGTAATTGAGCCTCCAAGTATTGATAGCACATCATTCGATGGATTCGATGGTATGTATCTTTACAAATGACTTTACGTCAAGATATCGTGCATAAGTCTATAGTTACTGTAAAATCATTTATCCGCCGGTTTCCTCTATTTAGAAATAAAATACGAAACATATGATGATCGTGTTGAAGAGATAGAATTTGAATATAAGGAACCTTTCCCAATTCCTCGAGATGAATTATCGACCTGGGGATGTTTGAATGAATGGAAGGAAGATGGTAATGCAGACGATACGTCAAGTGAATGGGGTCAACCTCCTACATATTTCTCTGATACAATAAATACCAGCATTAAACGTACGCTATCGGCACATCTGACAGAAGCCAACGAAAATGATATAAATGATGCATTTAAGAGAACAAAAATTGGGTAGGATCAATATTTGCGTATTTTAACCATACTGAGTTGTATGTTTTATTTTACATGTCATTTATCATTTATTGTTGACCCATTAATAATTATTTTTGACGACGTATTTTAGTGTTTTTTTTTTTTTGTCTAAAAAAAAAAAAAAATCAAACTTCTGGCTTCTAATGGCTTCACCGTATCCATTTTATAATCCAAAATGTACGAGCGTCGATTTTACTACAAAATTTTATATTATATTTAACATTTTTGCGGTTAATCATGTTTTACAGAGCCTTTCGATATTTACACTCTTTTTTCTCTATTGCTTGAAAGAAATTTTCATATAACTACCCACTGAAAATTTGTTTACGTATTCAACTATGCTCGTATAAATGATACTTTCATTTTTGTTGAACAAGAAAGTAAAAGGTAATATAAATAAATAAGACTCGATATATTCTTAATCGTTAATTAATTTCTATTGTCATTGCTAGGACTTTGATATTGCATTAAAATATTATGGGAATTTTGGTTTATGGGTAAATATAATATACTGTACATTAAATGTTTCATAAACATTATCAACACTATTTATTAATATATATTATATTTCTACTATTGTAAAGATTATTCAAAGATTAGGAAATTACTGTAAAAATAAATAAGAACAAAGTCAAAATCGTAAATGAAATGTAACTTTGCAGACACCAAGAAGAGAAAGAATGTTAAGATTTTTTTAAAACTTTCCAAAAAATAGAAATTTTTTTCTGGGACCTTTTTTTTTTGTGCCACCAATACCTCTTATCTTAAAACCAGATTTACCACTCTTATTGCTATTATCACTATTAATACTAACATTGTCCAATTGATCTTGTTCTAAACTTTCTCTTTCCAATGATAATTTTATATCTAATAGTTCTTTTTCTAATTTCCAATCAAAGTCTGCGAGAAAACAACCAGTAACAGGTCTATGATCAGAAAATCCTACAACATTCATATGACTTGTATATTTTCCAACCTCAATTTTCTTTCCATGTTTTTTTGACGGTAAACGTGTCTTAAAAATTATTCTATCAGTCCAACTTGGTACACGTTGTTTTGGCCCTGAATCGTATTTCAACGAATTTGTTTCAATAAATGCGGGCGCAGATGAATATCGTGATAATGGAGGATGTTCCTGATTATTATGACTTGTACGATGAGTTATGTCAAATTTAAACGTCGGATAAAAATCTATTTTATGTTCTCTGAAATTAGAAAAATAGGAAAAGTCTGAAAGTTCTTTGCTTAATTGGTCATAACAGAGGAGAGTCTTATAATTTGAATTATATATTATAGGTTATATATAGGTTAATCACTTAATGCATATTTTATCCCGAGCTAATAATAATATACACTTACTTTTAAATCTTTTTTATTAATTAATTCGTCAACTTCTTCTCTCGGTAAGTCAATACGGTAATTCATATCGCCAAACCAAAAAGTGTAATCAAACCTATCAGTAACATTTACCTGAACTTTAATACAATAAAAATAAGTATAGATATTTTATGTAAAAAAAAATAAAAATCAAATAACAAACCAAATGGCAGAACATACGCTTATCTTCCGGTTTAAACCCTTTTAATCTCAATTCTTTGGATATTTTTTTTACATCACTATTTCGTTGTTTGACTTTGCTTTGGTGAGCTAAATTTAAAAATCAATAAATTAATAAATAATTAAGAAATTTAAAGTAATAATATTTTGGGGCCGAAAATAAAAAATTACAAACCTGCTAAATGGCTATTTATAAAGCACAGAGATGTATTACCAAATAATAATGAAATACCAACACCACCTTTATTCCCAAACAAATTTGCCAATCCAGTCGCAACTGAATCATGTTGGCAACCTATTTTAAAGATGTTACATTATCAATTACAATAAAAGTTTGTAATATATCAATAATATAAACAAGACATACCCTGAACCCAATCCGCACACTCTCGCCATACAAATACAGCCTAAGTATTATAATTAATTGTTAATATATATTTGCTGTTTAAAAAAATAAATAAATAAAAAAAAAGATAAATAATAAATTACCAAATGCAACGCAGCCATTGTTTCAGTTTTAACTAAAACATAGGTATCTCCCAAATAATCAATTAATCTTGACTCCCATTCCTCTTTTGAAGGAAATAATACTGAATGTTTAATATTATGCTGACACTCTTGAGTTCCTATTACTAGAATATGATATGGATGTTGAACTTTTCGAGAAAGGGTAGGCAGACCTTGTTTATCATTAAAAGGTTTAACGTCTACATTTTCGATAAAAGGGGCAAGGTTATATGGAGGGAGCTACCAATAATAATAGATATTCAAGGATCAGATTAAAATATAGAATTAGCATAAAAATTTGTAAGTATTTACTTTTCCATGCATGTTCCATGTTCCAATAAAAATTTTAAGCTTTTTATCAGCTTTTTTTGATTTTAAAGATTTGGCAGCTGATAAAGTCTCTGTTGGTACTTTCTTGAATAATGAAAGAATAAAATCGATATATGCAAGCATTCTGCGTATGAAGTTTTGAAGTTTTATAATAATCGTTTCATCCTTTGTATTTTCAGCTTCGAGAAGAGCAATATACTCCTCATTAGCAACCGCCCTTAAGGTTTCTAATGAATCCGGAGAAGCTATATTTGAAAAGAATCGTTTAACCTAGAAACTTTATATATATAGTTTTAAGATGATTTATACTTTTTAAATACCTCTCACTGAAGCTGACATTGTTATTTGAATGAAATTATAAATTAGAAAATTATAAAAAGTATATAAGTAATGAAGTAAAAAGTGTGCAAGCTCTATGTACCAGTACATTGAGTTTTATAGCATAGAAGTATACAAAACTGTATATTAATTACCCCGACTTCGCGCTCTTTGTAGTCCGCGTTTAAAATGGTGAACAAAGTCCTTATAAACCAATTCAAATTGATCCAAATTTGTTAATACACAAATACTATACATAAATTATAATAAATAATCATGCAGTATATTTTAATAAATTTACTAAAATAAACACCTATTTTTGTTGATAGGTTCACGTGGTTAATGTAAGACGTCCTTTTTGAACTAAAGATGCAGGGGAAAGGGATAGGGGCCTGTAAAAATAAAAGCACATCAGATATCAGATGCCATCAGATACTACAGGGACATCAGAGACCTGAAAAAACCTTGGATACTAATTTATATACAAGGAAAAGACTATGATATCAGTAATCGAAATAAGTAATTAAGAAGCAATTATGCAGCAGACTTTTTAGCCATCTTTTTTAAGGACCAAAAAATCACTATTGACCATGCAAAAAATAAAATTAGGACTAATCTAAATATAGCATGGGATCGATACTCTTGCCATCAAATCGTTTAATTTTGAAAATGATCGAATATAAACAATCCGAAAAAAAATAAAATATAGATATTTTAAGTTAAATTAAAAGTGTTTAGACGTAAGAATGATGTAAGGTTATAAAACTCGAATTTTTTTGTCCGACCAAATCAAATTTTTTTTGGTTAGATTTTTTTTTCAAAAACAGGATTGACATTGTTTAAAATTTTAAGCTTATATAATTAAGGATGAGATGGTTAGCTTGGCTTAAGAAACCGGCTTAAACCCTGGCAGATTATAAAAATTTAACTGCGCATATAAACATTTAATTGAATTTTACAGGTAAATTTTACAAATTTATATGCGGAATCCGCATATACGCTTCGGATTTTGATTGCGGAATCTAAAATTTTGTTGCGGCCCGCAGACTTTGCAACTCAATTTCAGGTTGGAAGTCTGATCTGACGAACCAAGTATCAACCTAAAGATCAGTTACGTTTTAGAGCTCAATATATACTATAACTCCGATTTTTATATTTCTAATTTGTAATTACATAATAATATTTGCAAAAGACAATATTAGTAAAATTGTATTGTTGGTATACCAATGATGAATTAAATTTTCAAACACCAATACGTAACTGATTTTTAGGGTGATACTAGGATGGTTGGTCTGATCTGATCAAAAAATAAGTATTTGAATATTCATTCGTTCAATCTTTTTTAATACCCGAATATTTATCAGCAAATTTCGATGATCATAAAATAAAGTTGTTGATTTGGAATAATAATGAATTGGCAATATTATGAAGTTGAATAATTGTGAGTTTAAACATCTGGGCTAATATTTTTTATTGGACCTTTTTTTTGGCCACAAAAACTGATAAAATCCCTTAAATTATATGTTCTTGCTAGATATTAGACAGTCAAATGATGTATACGTCACTAAAATTTTCACTAATCAAATCAACAAACCGATTACTGTTACGTTTATTTATGCCGATATCGATATACGATATATTGGTCAAATAAAATCTAACTACTTAAATTTGGGATACAGAAAAAATTAGCCCAGAGGATACAAAGTTATAGAGGGCGTTTTCCACAATTGCTCTAGTTGTAAGTATCCACTTTTTTGCGTCGTCCATTTCAGAATAGATTTCTCCATATTTCTTGAATTTAATAAAGACGTCTTTTTTATCCTGTTATCATCATCGCACTCTCTAATCTATAATATCGAATAGTATTAATAAAATAAATGCTTCAAATGTGTTCCGCAGACCGATCCGGATCCGGTGGTCAGATCGAATCCAGATCCATGATTTTTAGGATCTGCAAAATTCGAATCCATGTTGAAGATCTAGTGCTCGGCACAATCAAACAAAAATTTGATAGTCAAATACTTGTTAACGTTAATACTTATGTTTAAATGGGACGTCAAACGATCGCAGATCAACCAAAGCTAAATATATATTATTGGTTAATCTGCGATCATTTGATGTCCGACTTAATCACAAGTATTAACAAGTATTTGACTGTCAAATTTTTGTTTGATTGTGCCGAGCATTATCGTTCATGCTAATTGGCTGTATCTAGTAGACTCTGATTGGTTAATTTAGTGATTGTACTTGCATAAGAGTCACCTGAGTGATCTGTTATACAGTAGAATGATATGCATAATTTATATTAATTAAATTTAAGGTTGATATTTAGTTGGTTTTTTTTTTGATATTAAGATAAGGTCTTGCTCGTATCTATTTAATAATTTATATTGTTACAAAGTAGGTTGTAATACAGAGTAATACTAGCATAGCATAGTATAGGAAATATTTTATTTTTGTATTATTTATTATATTATTATATTATAGCATTATAGTTATTTATTATTATTATATTCTTAGTTATAGTTAATTATATTTAGTATAGAAGAGACTCTATTAGGTAAAATAATATAGCACAGTAATACTGCGGCTAAGTAAAATAGTACGTGATATAAGTGCCTCTGCACAAAGTGCTTTTGAGTGCCTCTATACAAAGTACCTCCGAGTGCCTCTACACAAAGTGCCTCCAAGTGCCTCTACACAAAGTGCCTCCGAGTACCTCTATACAAAGTGCCTCCGAGTGCCTCTACACAAAGTGCCTCCAAGTGCCTTTATACAAAGTGCCTCTAAGTGCCTTCACACAAAGTGCCTCTAAGTACCTCTACATGGTATAGCAATTATACCGTTACACTTTTATTTGTAGAAAAGTTATAAAAAGAAAGCTTTTGCCCCTTTTACTCAAGCTAGAGTTCACTACCCTCTCATAGAATCTAGCCCAACCCCTTTACCCTTCTCTACTTGTAAAGTATAATATTTCCCCTCTAGGGTAATTCCTACAGGCAAGGTTATTACTGTGAATTTATTATAAATAAATATTATTATCTATAAATAGTTATTATCTTAATCCATTTGCCTCCTGCTATGAAGTTAAAGTATATACTTCACATCCACCTCGTGTATATTCATAAAGTATATCACTACACCGGGTGACCTTGTTACTTAGCTATATTTATACTAAGAAGACTATAGCATTGTAACATTTTGGTGCCTCCTGGCAAAAATCAAAAGAAAAACCCCAAAGAAACTACTCTTGACAGAATTTCTAGTAGAAAAGTATAAAATCTTAGAGGATTTTATCAAGGCTTACTAGAAA